CAAGGAAGGTGACATGAAGTGGGGAAACGGTTAAGTGATTTGACAAATAATACAGAAGGCCTTTTTCCACTTTGACAGGAGGATCAAAAATTCAAAAGCAACTTGAAATATAACCAGACACACTGGCTGGCACACACTAAAACTTACCCCAGTCTTTCGCAACCTCTCCGACCCGGCCAAATCCACCAAATTCAGCTTGGAGGTGATATACTTGCTGTCAGAAAGAGTCCGTGAGCGGGACTGTGAATGAGAAAGACATAGTCTACTACTTAAAATAGTGTGCAGGAAAAGGCATGTTTGACCACAGTAAACAATATAGTAAATCATGAAAGGTAATTTGACTTCTACCTCTATATGCACAGTGAAGACACAGTGGGACCTGGAGGAGTTCCGGTTCAATGCGTGAGATCCAATAATGCGATTCATTTCACCCTGAGTAAAGAAAGAACAGCTTCATAAAAAAGGTTCAGCTTTTAACAATGCTATCCATCCAACGCTGATTACACAATATACAGATTTAACAGCCATGAAATTAAACCATAGACAAAACCATAAACTTTATTTCACAGTAAAAACTGTTGAAACTGTGGGGGAAAAAAACAACATTCCAACAACAGCATAAACTGGAATTAAAAGTAAATTGACCCTTTGCTAAGCCACGCCCCCGAATACACGGCTGGCCAGTCACAGTATAGGACTCTCTCTAACTGAGGTCCGACACTCATGGCTTCGCTCCATTGACTTTAATGTAAAAAGAGTCGTTGTCTAGCTTTTTTTGGCTGTATTTTTCTAAGATCTGGTCAGGCTTCGGCAGGTTCTCTCACGTGAACAGAAAGGGAGACAGCGCTCCGCGAGTGAACGGCAGGCGCTCTATGGATAGTAACCATGGCAACGGCTTCTGTGCGCTACACAGCCGTAGCCTTTTTAACTTAAAATTAAAATTATACATAGGCTAACTTTACCTGATAGGCCTGCATTTAGTTTTGCGGGGATGCTCTGCCATGTGAATTCCCTCCTGCTGATGTCCTGATAACTCTTTAGATTCTGGAAACTCACAAACAGCGAGGATCAGTCTCTCTTCCACTGATTTGTGCTGCGCGTCGCGTACAAGACAATTCAACTTCGGCAGCAGGCGAGCGTGTGCGTGAGACGAGCACGACGGGATCGCACCCAGTACACCTTGTGCTCGACCACTCCACCTCACTGTAACAAGGAAACTTGCTACTGAACATAGATAGTTTCTGCTGCTGCCTGATAAAAGAAAAATATTTCTGCTGATACCTGCTCAGAAAAAATCCCAAGTAAACTGGACACTGATGGTAACTTGTTTTAACAAGCTAGATAAAAGGTAATTCCCTGGCAGTGGGAAATAGCTTTTGTTTAATATGTGATTTGATTAATGTTTAAGTTGAGATTTACAAGAAATATTTTATTGATACTGTGTAAAGGGAATACTGCTGGTGAAAAAGTACCTTATTTGTTTAAAGTTAAAAGTGTTTAAAACCACGTTATTGCACTTTTATATATATAGCAGTACATTTAAATCAAAAGTGTGCAATACACTACTTTAGAATTCATTATTCAATTTTGCGCGTAACAATGCGATTAATTGCAAGAAAATCATGCGATTAATCGCATGATTAATCGCTGCCCAGCACCAGTTAGCTAACGCTAGCTAACTTCCTATTGAACGTAACGTAATAAAGCCCCACTGTTCTGCTTTTTAATGACTGTAAAAATTAATAGAGGCCTACCCAGCTGTTCAGGAACACTGTTGATCCTTACTTGTACTGGGTGATCTGTAGGCTTTAGCTTCCATCTTTCATTTTTTTGACATCCATTTGAGTCAGTTTTACAGCCTGAATACAACCTTGAAATGTATAATGCAACTGCAAAACGGTCTGCTTCTTTCTGAGATCACTTTTCCAACAAATTAGACAATATTTCTCCAGCGAGTGCAGAAATAGACAGTTGCAACGCCGACAGTTTGTCAGTAACAGTAACTAAGGGGGAGCGGAGCTTAGCGAAGGGTCAATTGCAGTTTACATCCTCTTTACAATATTTAGAGATTTTCATTTCACCTGTGGGATAAGAAAAGCAACAAGTACAATCTGCCACATGAGCATAGGGCCCTCAATGGGAACAATATAGAAAAGAAAAGATGATACTGGACCTTTGGATCATCAGTTTTTTATGCTTGCTGGTCATATTAACTTTAATAATTAATACATTTACATTTTTTGCCAAATTATTCCTTCAAGTTGGACAGGTTTTTACAGTTCTAAACTTTAGACCACACACCTCAAACAGCAGGTTGAGGGCCTCCTCCTCACTGTGGACAGGGTGAAGAGACAGACCTCTGATGAATACCCCTCTGCCCGGCTCCTCCGTCACCACCATACCGCGAGGAGACGGGTGTTGTGTGCCTCGCAGCGATGGCAGCAAGTCCACCAGGGTCTCGTTGTAGATCTCCAGGTAGGACAGATGCACAGTGAAGGCATGCTCAGTCCTTTTCTCCACCTCTTGAAACACCTGAATACAGTGTTGAGATATAAAAAAAAAAAAAAAAGCCAGGGTGTTTCAGACGTTAAAATGTTCACATGAGTGAGTTACCTCCTGAAGGGCCCGAGGGATGACACCTCTCTGCTTGTATGATTCTGTGGATCCTGTCATGGTATAGGTCTTTCCTGCACCTGTCTGCCCAAAACACATCACAGAACCTGAAAAATACACAACAGAAGACATTAAAAATGCTAGACTAACACTACATAATGAACATCTCCAAAACACTCAATATAATCAAGGGAGTGAGGGCCCTTCTACTGGCTAAGACACATTAACATTAAGTTGGGAACACTTATCTGGTATTACTAATTGACTGCACTTTGTTAGTTGATGTAGACAAACAGGTTCTACCGTTGTAGCCATCCAGTGCTCCCAGTACCACCCGTCGGCACACTTGGTTGTAAAACTCCTCCTGGGACACATCCTGCAGGACGCCCTCCACCTGGAATGACCAGGAGCTTAGCTGACTTTTGTTGGAGTCCCTGGGCTTCCTGGAGGTTTTCCTGTGACAGATGTTCACTGTCTGAGGGACAAGACAGAAAAAGAGATTTAGAGTATACACTCTAAAACTACAAACATTAATGCATTAACTGAAATAATGCCTCAAGGTGTCAGCTGTGCTGTGGTCAAGGTCCAGGACTAAATACAGAATGAATTGTGGAAACTGCAAACAACTCCTCCTGCTTTGTTTATGAGATATGCTCAGTTTTTGTATTTGGAAATAAGGTTGTAAAAACGGGTGATTTTGGCAAAGCTGTCATTTGGGGTAAGGTTATTTATTACAGATATGGATGTGGTGAAGTTCTTAGCCACTGAATATTGAGATAATTGTCTGACTATCACAAATTCAGTGGCTATTAATCTATCCATCCTTATCTCTATTAGATATTGATTTACAGATAGGTGACAAATAAAAGGAAACACGGAAATAAAGGGCCTTAAAATGAAAAGCATAGTCTTCATGAAGTCAGAATTTACTCCAGTGGAAAGCATTAGTAGCACCATCTGTTATCCTCTTTATGAATTAATCTGTCAATCATTATCTCCATTATTTAAGTAAATGTTTCTAAAAATGCCAGAAAATTTCAGAAATGTCCATAACAAATTCCCAGAGCCTAAAGTGGTCTTAAACATCCCTTGTTTTGCCCAACAAACTGTTCAAACCCCAAAACATATTAAATTTATTGTCAAAGAAGAATAAGGAAACCAACAAAGAAATAATAATTAGGCTTTTTTTTTAATGTTGCAGATTTCGGTTTTGAGATGTGGTTTTGGCATAAATGATGGCTCCACTCCATTTAAATGGCCCAGTGAGCATTCATGCATAATAGCAGGGCCATAAGCTAAATGTAGTGCAGCCATCATTAATGTAATTAATTGCACCTGCATCTTTTCTGTGAAAGGCCTTTTAGGAAAAAAGTTGTGCAATTTCTCGAGTTTGGAAAGCATAACCACATAAAGTAACCCAGTAAGCATGACTATAATGATTTGCAGGTGCTAATAAGTCTAACTAACTGGTGTTTATGTGCTGTTGAAACAAATCCTAGTAATAGATTTAACGAGTTTTCACCAGTTAACGAGTTTTAAACGCATCAACGGTTTTGACAGCAAAATAATTCCTGCTGGGCAAAGATAAATTAGCTTTATTTTTATTTTATTTTTGAAATTCAAAAAAACAAAATCGGCTATCTTTCGGTTTAACTGGATCTTAATAGTGGCATTAAAACCTGTTACCTGTCCGTCAGGAAGACATTCAATTAAGTCTTGGGCGAAGTTCGCCGTCGGTCTGACTCGGACAAACACTCCGACCTCGCTGTTGTGAGCCTTCATAGTTTACCACTTCTGTCCGAAACACGACGACAACTGAACAAAACTAAAGTCGACAGCTTAACTTAACTACATTCACTTGAGCTAGTCGAACATTTCAGCTGAACTTTATCCTCTTCATCTCTTCTGTTCAACTTCTGCGGTTTACATTCAGCGTCTAGGTAACGCCCGAGAGCGCGCACGTTAAGGCAGAGCGCGCCCGCAGCGTGGCCTGACCATCTGTGAACATCATCAAATTATGATGTCAATCATACGAAACATACGATTAACAATCATCATTAATAAAAAATAAATAAAAATACTGTTTGTCATTAAATTACAAAATGAAAGAATTTCTAAAAACTTATTCCAACTAGCCATGTTCCTTCCTATCTATGGAGGCTGGTTAATTAAATGGTTAATATTAAGTGATGCATTCAGGGGTAACCAGGGTTTAGAAATTAGTGAAGCCCAACAATTTATTTTTTAAAATAGAGCTTGTTTATGGTAATGCGTACCAAAATTACACCTAAACACAACCAAAGTTATACACTACAGTCACACGAACTAATGGTCTATAATGTTACTAGTAACTAAAGCTGTCAAATAATTGTGGTGGTGATGGTGCAGTGGATAAGACACATGCCTTTGGTGTGAGAGACCTGGGTTAAATTTCCCACTGCGACATATCTACCAATGTGTCCCTGAGCAATACACTAAACCCCTAGTTGCTCCAGAGGTGTGCAGCCTCTGACATGTATTGCAATTGAAAGTTGCTTTGGATAAAAGCATCAGCTAAATGAATAAATGTAGTGGAGTACTTGCCAAATATATTAATCATTTAAATCATTTTTAATGCAAATCATTTCATAGTTCCAGCTGTTGAAAATAATGAGCATATTAATATCAATAATGATCAATCAATAATAATGAGCATATCAATAATGAAAATAATCATTAGTTAGCTATACAAAATAGTTCAAATGAGCTCCACTAACTAAAACAGTGAAATCCTGCTTTTACATCAACGCACAAGTAATAATAAAAGTAAAGGAAAAGGATCTGAATATTTCCTCTAACACTGGACTCCACCCACTGACACTATAAAGCAGGTGTTTGTGCAGAAAGGAGGCTAATGTATGTTCAAGATGAGAGGGAGCATTTTACTCTGTTTGATGGGATTCACTCTTGCAGCAACGACTCCACCTTTCGTAAGATTGGCGATTTTCCTAAGATTTATCTCAAAAGATACTGAAAATGATTTAACTTTGACTACTAAGAACAAGTCTGAAGTTTCTCTTTATTCTGTAACTTGTATCAATTAATTACCCAAATTCTAATCTGCTAAATAACGTTCATTCACATTTTGATTTAATTGAACTAAATTTGATATTTCTATGAAACAGGTTAATTTATTGATTATGTAGCTGCTGTGATTGACATCCAATGTCAATGTCCTTACGATCAAAACACTATTACATCCTTTGATTAAAGTTATTACAATTTCAGTGGCCAAATGGGAGTAGGTTGAGGGAAACAACCAACTCATCAGCAGTGGGTTGACTTAATGGGAGAAAGTGGTAATGGTGTCATCTGCTTTGTACAGTATAAAATTTGAAATTATGGCTGTCCAATGAAATGTTGCATTTAGTCATGCTGCAGTCCAGTAGAGATTTGTAACACATTTGTGGCCAGCTTTCCCTTCAGACATGAGTGCTGCATTTCCTTATTTTACATTTATATTTATTTATGATTTAGCTGCTTTACTTGAAATCTAATGTGAATGTCCATTGCAGAATCCGAATATATTGGATGACTCAGGGGTTAGATCACCGTTGGAAGGTGATAAAGGGTTTAAAATGACAACCAACAATTCTCAATCAACAATGGTGGGTAGACTCACTGGGAGAGAGTGTTTTTATTTATTCTCCAAGTGTTTTTTGGGAAGTCAAAGTGCCTGTTTCAGATAGTTTGTGTTTTTTAGATAAAACTTGATATCCAGTTATAACCAAAGATTAGGTGAGGGCTGCTGCAGAGAAACACATTTAAACCACAACAAATGCCTCTTTACATCTGATGTAATGAGACTCTGAGTAGTGCATGGCTTTTAACTTGAGTGGGACCAGTTTCGAAGAAGAGTAACGCTGAAACGTCTGCAGCAGAGTAGACCGGACTGAACATGGGGTGTATGCCTGAAGAATGCCACTGATAACTTGGTTTTCAATAAAATTTCACTTCACGAAATGACAATTTTTTTGATCTAACCTGTTATTCACTCTCTTGCAAGGGTTTGAATATGATATAGACCTCAGACTTAAATGTTCATTTTGATAAAAAAATTATTATTAGTTATTTTATTATTTGTTGCAAATAGACCAAAAATATACATTATGTTAAATTTCTCTGGTATCTTGTTATGTAACTTCCCAAGCTGCCAGACTGAAACCATTTCAAACATTGTCATTTCACAACAGAATAATGTGTTTGTGAGCTAGGTGCGACTAACCCTAAGGGAGCAGATATTAGCCCCTCATTTAGTGTCCTCCATATTTAATGTTTTAAGACTGATGATTGCGTTTATAGAAGTGTTAAAATATCAGTTACAGAACCGGTCTTCGGATTAAAATGTTCTTTTTTAAATATAGGACAGTATTTGGTTCTTTCATATAATACTTTCAGGAGTACGAGGTATGAATTAGACGCGCCTTAAAGAACAGTAAAGTTTTTTACATTTTATTTTCAAGAATCAAAGAAGAGGCTTGAGTAAAGGTTTACAGCTTGTATTGTACTGCTGGTATTTCTATGAAACAGGTACATTTTTTATGTTACTTTGCTGCTTTGTTTGAAGTCCAAAGTCAGCGACCTTGCAGGAACAAGCAAACACACACACTGTTGTGTCACTGTCATTAGGGTAAAGTTGTACTGTATTAATTTATTAAAGAGCTTATTAGATCTCTTATTAAAGACAATGCATGTCTATTTCAGGTACCACAGAATAACAGTGAAAATAATACGAGTATACAGGTAGGTACAGGTAAATTTCATAGAGTAAACATGATCTACACCATGTATCATGCCATTTCTATGAAACTGGTTAATTTATTGATTATGTAACTGCTGTGTTTGACATCAAATGTCAATGTCTTTACACTATATACACTTTTTAATGTTTAATTAAAGTTATTCCATGATTATTAAGGTTACTGAACTTTTGATTAATTTATAGTTTTAATTTATTATTTGTACAGTGGGATGGTATCCGGGAGCCAATTGAAAATACTTTTGGGTTTGTACCACCACATGCTGATGGAGAGGACACCCAGGTAAGAAAGTGAAAAGGATCTAACTTGAGAACAATTCTGTAGTTTGTTTATTCTATATCTTGTGTCACTTAATTATTCTCATTGTAATCTGCTAAAATGTTCTTCACTGACTTTGCAATAACTGAAATGTCACTTTCTTATTGATCTTAATTTAAGGGCTAGAAATGTATTTTATTTTCTAGAATTGATGGCAATAAAATCAACTTTTTTTATTATGATTAATAGAATTGATGAACAGGCAAGTGAAAAGATCTACACCATGTATCATGCCATTTCTATGAAACTGGTTAATTTATTGATTATGTAACTGCTGTGTTTGACATCAAATGTCAATGTCTTTACACTATATACACTTTTTATTGTTTAATTAAAGTTATTCCATGATTATTAAGGTTACTGAACTTTTGATTAATTTATAGTTTTAATTTATTATTTGTACAGTGGGATGGTATCCGGGAGCCAATTGAAAATACTTTTGGGTTTGCACCACCACATGCTGATGGAGAGGACACCCAGGTAAGAAAGTGAAAAGGATCTAACTTGAGAACAATTCTGTAGTTTGTTTATTCTATATCTTGTGTCACTTAATTATTCTCATTGTAATCTGCTAAATGTTCTTCACTGACTTTGCAATAACTGAAATGTCACTTTCTTATTGATCTTAATTTAAGGGCTAGAAATGTATTTTATTTTCTAGAATTGATGGCAATAAAATCAACTTTTTTTATTATGATTAATAGAATTGATGAACAGGCAAGTGAAAAGATCTACACCATGTATCATGCCATTTCTATGAAACTGGTTAATTTATTGATTATGTAACTGCTGTGTTTGACATCAAATGTCAATGTCTTTACAATATATACACTTTTTATTGTTTAATTAAAGTTATTCCATGATTATTAAGGTTACTGAACTTTTGATTAATTTATAGTTTTAATTTATTATTTGTACAGTGGGATGGTATCCGGGAGCCAATAGTAAATACTTCTGGGTTTGCACCACCACATGCTGATGGAGAGGACACCCAGGTAAGAAACTGTTCAGAACTCAAGGATTACAAAATACATAAACAGCACCCTTTGAATATTTCAGAATTTATCATTTGATGTTGCAAGTCAAACATACAATTTGCTTTTTAGCTTAAATGTTGTTGATCTTATCTTTTCCAGGGAAAAACAAAACAATGAAAGAGGACACACGGCAGGGGGCTCAACTCAACAGCTCATATTTTAAATTCTGATGGAGAAGTACCACCATCAGGAAGAGGAAGAAGCAGATTTGATCATTCTGCTACTGCTTCTTTTGACTAAACATTTTATTAAAAACATTGTGATATTTTCCTTTCATTTCTTAGTTTGGCTAATTTAACGTCAGTTAAACTTTATGGATCTAACCCCCCAAAAAGTTAAATTTAAATAATTTATCCCAATTTGAAAAAATTTACACCAACTATGACATATAGATAGCGCAAAAACAAAAAGAAAAGGCTGGCAATATATATTCTTCTTACTTTCAACAAAACAAATTAATCGTACTAACAGGTACTGTCTGTATATTTAAAGCCTGATATAACTTATCTATTTGAGCCACAGAGCTCCTTCATTCCCATGAACACACACACTGACTCAATCCCACATGCACCATCCTGCTGTCGTAAATACTCACTGCAGCACCAAATGTGTGGCCAGGTGTTTTAGGAAAATACAGAACCATTTTGCTAACTACAAACTATATATTTCAGAGATTTTAAAGACTTGCATTTAAGGAAAAAAAGACTTTGGGCAGAAGGTATACAAACAGGCTGTTGTAGTCGGAAAGTTTTGAGAGATGGGCAAAACCACATTTTATGGGATTTGTTACCAATT